GGATCGGTGCCCCAGAGGAGAGAGAACGCGCTTGCAGAAACGAGCGACACTGGTCTGCGATTTTCTGGGAGGGGAAGAGCATGCAATTTTCGTTCTTCGTGCCAAACTTTTGTCCGCACAGGCGCTCGAGCTGGAATGAGGATACCACTTAGCCAGGTGCGCGCGTTTTGAGTATCTGAGACTTTGCCCTACCTTCCTGATACTGAGATGGATGAAAAATCGCGGGTATCCAGAAACCTGCACGTCGACAACGCGCTTTTCAGACTCTTCATAACCAACGTTGTCGCGCCACGTCGGGAGAGACACGGATATTGCATGTGGTGTAAACGGGGGGACGCCTAGACCTAGTGGAACCGCCATGGGAGCGGAGCAAGAGGTGGGTCTGAGCTGGGTTATGGAGTCATGAGTGGTTCCAAAAACGAGAAAGTTCGCCATCCATCATGATCCGATTATTTTCAGCATCGGCCGATGCAGTTCAGCTGCGGCGTGCACCATCTCAAAAGTTGAATTTTGCCCTTGGCACGTCCAGATGTGGATGCGGGAGTGAGCACCGACTGAGCACTTTGTATAGAAGGAGCACAGGACAAGGGAATTCTTTAATGGAAATAAATTTGCACGACATGTGCGGCGACCATTTCCCTGCCAATGGCACGGTGTCGTGATCCATACTTCCTTGTAACTCATTACGAGAAGGCTGAACGGAGTGCTATGGGTTATTGAGAAGTCGACTGTACTTCTCCAAGGAAGTGCAGGAGCGGTGAGAATTGATGTGTTGTTTCTACAATATTGCGGGGCCACAATTATAATGGAAGGTGACCACGGACAGATGAATTTCTTGGACAGATTTAGGATTTGACATGCATGTCGTCCCGCCCTGGATTTTATGTAGACTCTACGACAGAGACAGAGAGAAACAACTACTATCGATGAGATTTCCTACGCGTCGACCATCCAACTCGTTATGTACATCCAGAATTACTTACAGAACCAGAGAAATGAAAGTGAAACCAGTAAGGGCTCCGACCGTGACCAAATTAACATGATTGAACCCTGCAGAATTCGGACCCCCACCTCCCGCAGAGACAGGCGCTCGGCATCTACCAATATTAGCGGAATCACGGTCTGAAACCAAAGAAAAACACCAGTCCGTGTCAGCTCGTGATGACCAAATTGCAGAACTGATCGACGCACAGCAGGTATCGCCATCGGCTTAGCAGATGAGAATAGTGAGAATATAGTCGAAGTGAGAATATATAACATACGGCAACAGCCATCGCCATCGGAACATGGGAAGTCTCCCTCATTGACGCACTGCTCGCCCGATCCGCTGCAGACTTCTCCATTCAGGCAGCAGCCGTTGAGGCCACAGTAGTAACTGAATTCGAATTTAGAAATTTATGAGCAGAATGTAATTGTTCCATGAGAGAATATCTGAACGTACTCTGAAGGGCAACAGCCATCCGACACTGGAAAGAAAATAAAGTGTCAATTTCGGATGACGAGGGAGGATTCGACATGATACTAACGACTGCAGCAGCTATTTCCAGCTGGGCAACAGAAGGTGCTGGTGCATGGACTGAACCCAGGGTCGCAGGAGACCTGGCGCAAGCCGAGTAAGCCCCTGATCATAGTCTGGGGCTTATTCCCGGTGGTGAAAGGCTTGAGGGGAGCTAGACGGCTCGAGCGCAGGGTATCGGTAGCCTCTACGGCGCCATTGATACCTCGAAGGAGGGTTGCGACTAGAAGAACGCGAGAGAGGGAGATCATCCGGGAGCGGCAGAGTATGTCTGTCAGTCAGTGTCGTTGTCGTGTGGGTGCACTCCTTTTATGTATGTATTCTAGTTGTTGTTCTGGAAGGTATTTTTTTTAGGACGACAGATGGGGTGTTTTTCGACTTGGCAGTCACGACGATGAACTTAAATTCTCCGTTGTATCAGAAAAATGTCAGCTTACACCGAAAGCACTATACCTTTGTTCCGCTTTCAATTTGGTGAGCAGCGCTGGGCTGATGGGCGCTGTGTACAAGGTCTCCTCCAAAACATCGAAATCAGTGTCAGCCCGTCCAGTGACACCGGAACCGCAAGGAAAGCTACGAGAGATCCTCCCACGAAGATAGGCAGTGAACTTGAAGTAGGGCGATGCAGCCTATTTATGAGAAATGGCCACCACGAAGTCACTCAATGACTTGGGGAACTATCACGGGAAGCAAGCGAGAACCCGACCAGGACGGTGTTCAGCTCATATCTTGAACCGAAGGTCTTGCAGTTGAGTCCTTGAATCAGCAGACTCTTTGTTCACCGAGGATGCCTTGAACTCGAAAGGTTTGAGTAGTTCGGGTGATAAACGTCAATTCCGTGCCCTTCAGTGGTTGCTGTTTTCCTGCCTCAGTTGATCTTGAGTGCTTGAAGAAGGCATACGAAGTGCGGTCAGGCATACAGATTCGGGAAGGCAGCGAGACAGATGGATTAAAGGTAGCTCCGCTTCTTCTGCGACTGAAACAGTGTGCGACATGTTGGTGATGAGACGGCAAGTTGCAGTCTCTAGGGCCAGTGTGGTTTCCAAAAGAGATAGAGCGGAAGAACGAAGGAGCTGGATTCGCCATGGCATAGTTCAAAAAAGACCTGATATGTGGCACAAGACTAATAGAAAACCTAATATAAGCGTCCTGGGAACCAAAAATAAAGGCTGTGGAGACGCTGGAGCCCCTGAGATGGAATAGAATACTCGCCACGCTGGAATTAAGGACCCAAAAGCTCGGGACTTCTGCTACAATAATATGGCGGATTTTTGGCACCATGTGCACCCCGAACGTACGCAGCGTCCACGAGTACCCGTGACTTGAACTATCACATATCCGCCTAAACACTACGCACCGGTCGACACAACAAATAATGGGCCCTGGAAAAAATGGTGCACAGCGATTCCCGCAGTTAGGTCGAAAAAGGAACCGACCTGATGTTTTGCTCCGGAAACTTCTGCCCACTTAACGTATCCCGCGTCGGATCCACGTGAGGAATCCTGAGAGTCCGTTGAGAGCTGAGACCTCAGACGATATGCACAGATGAATTTGCTCAGAGAGTCCGACAGTAGGCTTAGAGAACAGCATTTTGTTTGGTCGTCACGTCAATCGCTTCCGAAACAAACTTCGCTCCGTATCGACCGGTCCGAGACCTTCTTGACACCTTGAAGCTCGCCAATTCGACGCCTTCCCTGAGCTTCCCGTGGCTGCTCCCAACTCCGGCCCTCAGCCTCCTTCCGATCCTCTTCACTTCTGAGCCCACTGGATTATGCCCGTTCGGTTCTGCAGCCAGTGAATCTCGTTGTGTCGGAATTCAATAACGCTTGGAAACTTGTGGAAGCCTTGAATTGGACACAAATCTCAGTGCGTAGGGGGCGCGGTGGGGTACAGCGTTGGTGGGTCCATGGTTGGATGTCAGGAACACGGGTGAGTCTTTTATTTAACCCATTTTTGCTTCGGTGTAAATGGGTTGTCGGGAGGGCGGAGACCCGATGCGCTGTCCCAAGAAGACATGCTCGCGGGTCTGACACGCTTCGCTTAGCTTCCAACGCGATACTGGAATGTCCGTGCCCCGGTGTGTCAGCCCGAGATGGACCGACGTGCGCCGCGCGTTTTTGTGTGCGGACGCGCCGCAGGCCCATTCCAGCGCGGCTTTCGCATTGGCCTATCGGTGGCCGTCATGGAGGGGTTATGCTCGTCGCTACCCTGCGGTACTTCCTTTTTCTCCCTTTCCCTGTTTGCGTCCTCGTATCGTTTATACGTCGTGCTAACTACACCCTCAGCGAACTTCCACCTCCAGTGTCCACGACACTCTAGCGCGGCACGTGAGTGCGAACAAGACCATGTTACACGTATATGCACATATGCTTCTTTTTGTCTGTTTTTCAAAGGGGGGAGGGAGATCGGAGGATGAGCGTTATACTTTTCGCCACTGTGTGGCCCCTTCTTTTTCTTCCTCCCTTTTCGTGCTCTCGCCTGGTCCTGTACGTGGCTAACTACGTCCTGCAGGAAACCTCCACATACCCAAACTACGACAAGTTACGCGGGGGCGAGCATTTGGCTTTTAAGCGTACGTGTCCGTCCTTCCCTTTCTCGCTATCTTGTTGTTCTTCGAACGAACGGGGAGAAGGAGAAGGAGATGGGAGGGTGGGTGCGCGCGGGGATTATTGCCACCCGCCACTCCATATTGCGCGCGCGCTGTAGTTGAGGCTGCCGGACGAGCTAACGCCAAGCCGGGTCTGCGTGCTTCCGCGCCGCAGGCAATACATCTCGTCGCGCATACGCCGCGTGTTCTTCGAGCGCGCCAGGCGTTACCGTACCCTATGGGCTTCAGTTTGGACCGGGGCCTTGGTTATTACACGTCCGCGTCGCACGCACTTCTCTCCTGCCGTGCGACAGGAACTCTGGTTCCACCTGGCGCCAGAGTCAATGACATTCCGTCGCCAGCTGGAGCCTGGCGCCGATCGCCACTGCCGGCGTCCGAACTCCGCTGCCGTCAAATCTTGCCGTAAGTGGGTTTCTCATTAACTTTCTGCGGGGGTTTTTACAAAATTGTCTAAAAAGGAAGAGTTTCTGTCTGCACCCGGGTTTCTCAATAGAATTATCCCAATTGGTATACTTTTCGGCTCGCATTTTTTCTGACTTTCCTTGTTATCCAAACATTAAAGCAACTCAAACCAACCGTGGGAAAGCAAAAGGAGTGTGTGATAAATACTGTCTCTCCAGTTGTATCTGCTTTGTAAGTGGTCCAGCTTCACATGGACTCACGAAAAAGAAAACATGTTCACCCTTTCCGCAGAGCATCCAAATCGGGTGCCTGCTCGTTTGAGCACTTTAAAAGGAAATTATTTAATTGTGTTCGGTCTTTTAGTGAACTGCGCGCAGAACTCGGAGATGCGGTTTTCATGTGCACCCAAAGAAAAAAAAAGACTTGTGTACCCTTGATTTGATATTCATTTTCAAAAAGTGAAGATCGGCACCATTCAGACACCAGGGATCGAACCTGGGACCTCTCCAAAACCCTGGGAGATGTACATGGATTCAAGGGAGATGTGTTACCGTTACACCATGTCTGACATGGTGTGTGATGTATTTACCAACGGTCTATGTAAGTTTTCCGCAATATTATTGCTTTGAGTGAGGAAAAAAGGAGAATTACATTCGGATTCAGACATCGAGGATCGAACTTGTGACCTCTACAGAATAGATGATCTGTGCCTTGTGCAGATAGGGCAGATATGTTACCATTACACCATGCCTGACATGCTGTGAAGTGGAATACAGTTCATAGGAGGTAGACCGGGAAGAGAGCAAGAAAAAAAAGTGAATCCAAACACGCCCACTCGTCAAATGCAGAAACAAAATGCAAGGAGCCAACTCGAAGCTTACCCCCTGTCCTACCAGAAAATTGTTTGCTTAGAAGTACATCCGGCCAGTACATTTTGGGTTCACGAGAAATGCACGTACAAACCATCAAACACGTTGAGTCACACTGAGTCACGTTCCCGGCCCGGAATTTTATGGAACGGAAAAGAGATATGAGTCAAAGTGAGTCAAGGTGAATCATGTTGAGTCATTACGAACAGTATATAAAGGGCCCTGATTCCATTTATGTTTAATCACCTTAACCTGTAACCACTACCACGTAGTTAGAAATTGATTTTCTTCGCCTACTCGTGCGACTTCTTGAGTTTCTGAGTCTTGTGCGCGATATCTACGTGCACATCCAACCGTATTTGCCTGACACCGTTCTGCCCGCCCCGCCTGCTGTTGAGGTGCTTGTCACTGAGCTTGCCGATCAGGCTCTTTAGGACGCGCCTATCTGTTCCGCTTTCCGCCGTACCGTATTTGCTCCCGTTTTTCCGTCAGCACCACACTGTACCTAAATCTTGTGAATTGGAATTATTGAGAGGTTTTCCCCAATCAGGTTATTCCTCCGAACAACGTTACTTCCGAGGAACCCTATAGAGAACTTTTTCTCTCTGTTGATCAAAGCAAAATAGGAAAGAACCAAAAGGTGAATCTTGGAAGTCTTGGATTCAGACACTGGGAGTCGAACCCGGAACCTGCTCGGAAATCTCCCCCCCTCTTTTGGTAGCTTTCGAGGAGATGTTGCCGTTACACCATGTCTGACATAGGAGTCAAAGTTCTTGAGGGAGTAGAGCATGTGAAGACTGAGGATCAGAAGAGCTGGAATCGTAACAAAAAGTTCAGGTACCGGAGCAGGATAAATCTATCCGCCGGAGCATTCAGAACTAGAACATCTCCAAACTGAGCAGCATGATGCCATGATCTACAAAGTTGTGTTACCGCGGTTTGCAACGAGATCTGTAGATGGAAAAAAGAGATCAGAACAGCAACAACTGGTCATGATATCGAGTGCCGGGGAGTAATTAAATTTATCGGCGACCCTGAAGCAACCCTGAAGCTGCCCGAATCGCCCTGAATTGTGGACGTCTATCCTTGGGGATAACGGAGACGGAATAAGCGATTGCGATCACCTGAAAATTAAAAAAGAGTGATCTTGCTCTCCATGAGCAGCGGGAAGCGGGGCAGCCTGCTCACCCAGGCCGGCGACGCCTTCAACCAATTCCGCTTTGGCCGCCGCCGCCCGTCCATCCGCCAGCCCGTCCCCCAGCCCGTCCTCGCCGTGCCCCATGTCATAGACATATCCGCCCCCCCGCCCGACGAGGAGATCGAGGAACGCCAACGCCTCAAGGATGCTGCTGCCCAGTCTATTGGCCTCGGGCCCCTGCTAGAGCCCACCGAGGAGGAAGAAGAGCACAAGGAGAACGAGCAAGAGCAAGAACAGCAAGAGCAAGAACAGGACGAAGCGCTAATCCCACTGCCGCCGTTCCCCGCGTCGCCCGCCCTGCTCGCCCCCTTCGCCACCCTCGCAGACACCCTCCCCAAATACTACCCCCCCTCCTCCCTCCGCATATTCGCCCTCGCAAAACAGTGGAAGGGCCGCCATCTCCTCCTCTCTCTCCCCATCCCCCCCGCTGCCCGCACCCGCGCCCGCACCGGCCCCGGCGTCGCCCACCTCCACCTCTTCAAGGGTCCCGCCCCCGATGAGCGCGAGCTCGAGCGCCTCGAGATCAACGCCGACAGCGTCGTCTTCGTCGCCGACGACGCCGCACAACCCCAGCCGGACGTCGGCCACACCGGCTGGCACGTCGTCAAGGTCGCCGGCGCCGACGTCGGGGCGCTCAAGCGCGACTGGAACCCCACCGACGACGCCGGGCGCACGGTTTGGTTACTACATCTTGCTTCGCCGGCGGACGCGCAGCGCTGGATCTCCGCTATCAAGAGCGCTATTTTGGAGCAGCGGTAAGTGCTATTCCTATTAGTGTATATTGCGAGTGCTAATTAACTTGTTTCTAGGACGCACCGCGCCGGCCTCGCGCCGACGCTCACGCCAAACAACAGCTCGGAGCCCCGAGGGGACATGGACGTGATGCTCTCCCTGCGTCTGCAAGCCAGTGGCAGCGGGAGCGCGCCGCACACCCCGCGCCTCGGAAGCGCGCCCCCCACAAATCCGAATCCCCAGACGCAAACACACAGCCAACCACCCACGCCGACCACGCCGACGCACCCGCACGCGCGTCCGGTGACAACCCACGGACACCCCAACACGGCGGGGTACGCCGCCTCCCTCGCCCCCTCCACCTCCGCCGCCTCCAACTACGCCAACTCGGAATCCCGCTCCGTGCGCTCCGTCGCCACCGCCCCCGCGCCGTCCAACTCGTCCTCGTTCCTCCCTGGCTCGGCGAGCTTCAGCAACCCCTTTGCGCGCTCCCCCTCCGGCTCCGCTTCGGAGAATAAGCATAAGCGTGAACACAAGTCGCGGTCGGCGTCTTCGAGCACCACTACGACGGTGCGGTCGAACCCGGGGACGATCTCTCAGTCTGCGGGGATGGGTGGGGGGGAGAGGGGCGGGAGGCCGACGACGGCGGTGGCGGCGCTCAAGGGGCTGTTTTCGGCGTATGGGGGTGCGGGCTCGGGTGCGAGCTCCGCCAGCGCTGGTCTACATACCACCACCGCAACCGCAACAGCAAACCGCCCGCGCTCCTCCTCCGCCGCGTCCTTCGTCTCCGTCGGCTCGCGCGCCTCGCGGACGTCGTTCGCGCCCGCGTCGTCCGTGCTCGGGATCGGGAGGGCATCACACTCGGCTGCGCATGGGCACCCCGGGCGCGCGACGTCGCTCTCTGGCCCTGCGCACCCCGCCTCCGCCTCCTCGGCCCACGGCCACGCACGCGCACAGGGCTTTCCGTACCGTGCGAACGTGCGCGCGTCGAGCGCGAGCGCGGACGAGCTCGTACCCTCTTCTTCCTCCTTCGCGACGTTGAGTGGGAGCAGTGCGAGTGCTGGAACAACGGGGAACCCGAACGGCGCAGAGTCCTTTGGCCGCATGGGCGCGCTGCTGGGGAACATCCACGCGAATGGTGTCGGTGGGGGTGTCGCGCCGAGGGCGCGGCCGAGTACGGGGCCGGGGGGCGGAAGTGGAAGGAATACGAGCACGAACACGTTGCCGGTAGGTGTCGGTGGGCTCGAACGCCGTATCGTTGGGCAGCGCGAGGACCTCGCCGCCGCCTCGTCGTCCCATCCCTCCCATCCAAGCACCACCGCAGCCGCAGACGCAGAAGACGAAGGCCAAGAGCTCATCGCGCCCAAACGGCGCACGCTCTCGTCGTTGGGGCTGCCTTTCGGGCTCGGTGGGAGCGGGACGGGGACGCCGCTGCAGCCGCCGCCGCGGAGGAAGCGCTGGACGGGGGGGTCGTTTTCGTCCGCTACGTCCAATGGCAATTCCACAGGTGCGTCGGCGTCCGCTGACTATAATAATAATAACGATAATAATGATGATGATACTGATGATGATAATGACCCTGCAGGCGCGACGGGGAGCAAGTGGGAGAAGGAGAAGAGGCGGGATCGGGCGATTTCGGAGGACGGGCATGCCGCGTCAAGCTCGTATTCGAACGGGAACGGGAATGGGAATGGGTACCCCACGCAAGCGCGCACGAATGGACGCCCGGGGAGCGCGGGCAGCCATCCGGGGAGCGTGCACAGGCCGGGGAGCTCGAACGGGACGATGTATGCGCACCCGCACGCGAACGGGAGCAGTGGGACGGCGGGGAGCTTTGGGGTGCGGTCGACTTCTGGTGCGGGGGGAGGGGGAGGGGGATCGTATGCGGGGAGTGTGAGGACGTTTGAGGAGCGGGAGCGGGAGGCGGGGTCGATGCGCGAGGGACGTGAGTCGATGTCGGTGCGGGATGGCAGGGAGGGGGTGGGGGGTGGAGGCGCGGGAATGGGAACAGGGAGAGCGCGGACGCCGAGCGTGCGGACGCGGGAGTCCGAGTCGATTCGCGAGGAGGGGGAGCGGGAACGAGAACGGGACGGAGAGGATGAGGGGCGGCTGAGCGTTAATGGGTACGGGTATGGGGGGGATGGGAGGAGTGAGCGGAGTGTCTCGACGGGGACGGGAACGGGGAGGTCGAGAGCGTCGAGTGGGGCGGGGCATACCAATCCGAATCCTAACGGAAACGCGAATGGAAACATCAACGGGAACGGGAGTACCAACGGAAAGACGCGCCGCTGGTCGACGCTCCCGCGCCGGCTCACGCCGCCCGCTTCGCCCCCGCCTGCCCCGCCCGCCGTGTCGCACTCACATTCTCACTCGGGCGCGACCATCCCGCATCCGTACGCCGCCGCTGGCGCCGCGCCCTCCTCATCCCCCGACCGCGACCGCGACCGAGACCGTGACCGCGAGCGCGACAGGCCAGTTAGCCGCTCCTCCTTCGGATCGACAAAGTGGACGTCGCGCGGCGGGAAGCGCATCTCCACGGGCGGGGTGAGTGGCGTGAGCGTCGGCAGCGTGGGCGGGGCGAGTTCGGGCAGCGCGGGGTCCGCGTCGATATTCGGGCCGCCGCCTGCGGGCGGGGGCGTCTCTGCGCTCTCTGGGCTCAGCGGGTCCCCACCTGCTCGGACACGCACGTCGATGCCGCCGCCTCCGCGGCCTGCGCCGACGGGTGCGTTGCCGCCTGCGCCGGGGGATGGCGGTGGTGGTGGGACGGGGAGCCCAAACGGACGCACGTCCTTTCGCGAGTCGCGTGCGCCGTCGTTGAGTGTGTCGTTCCTCGATGCACCGGGCCCGCCATCGATCGCGAGCACCAAGTCCTTGCCGCTGACGGGGACCAGCAGCAGCAAATCGACGACGCCCACGCCGCAGCCGCAGCCGGCCAGCGCGCCCAACAACAACAAGGCGTCGTTCCGCGAGTCGATGTCGATGACGCACCGTGCGTTGCGGCTGTCGCTCATGGCGCCCAAGCCCCCGCCCGCGGGCGTGCTGCCTCCGCGGCCGGACGAGGTTGCGCTCGCCCCGCCGCAGACGCATCGGCGGAGCAATAGCGCGACGGGGCCGGGGACGGGCTCGGCGCGCGGGAGTCTCTTGAGCAATTTGACACACGGAAGTGGAAGTTTGCTTTCCATCCCTGCGTCTCCCCCGCCGCGCGGGCCGCTCCCGCCCACGCCTGCGCCATCGGCACCTCCGCTCGCGTTGGCACGTCACACATCGCTCAAGCTCAAAAAGCGTCTGCGCATCCTCAGCGCGCCGCCTGCGCCGCATCCCGGCGCCGAGCAGGAGCCGCAGACCTCATCGCAGGAACGGTTGAAGCCCGAGCCCGCGCCGCGCCCGACGAGCCTCGATCTCCTGTCCCGCCCGCGCGGCGTGACCCTCTCGAGTTTCCTCTCCGCGTCGACGCCCACGACGCCGACCACCGCCGGCCCCGTCGCCCTCCCCGCGACCATCGCCGCCGCGCTCGCGCGGCTCGACGGCACGTACGAGAGCACGCCCCCGCAGACCCCGATCGGTGAGAAGATCATCCAGTTCCACACGCAGAACGACCCGAGCTTCCTCGAGCTCTCCGCCGCGTCCACGCCGGTCCTGCGCCCGCTGCCGTCGCTCCCCAGCGCCGCGGTCAATGGGGACGCGTCGGACCCCCCTGCGCCGGAGAACGAGTACGCTGAGATCGTGTCGCTGCTGCCGCCACCCCGCCGTGGCTCGCGGCAGATCTCCGTCAAGGAGCTGGAGCGACTCGAGCGCGTGCCTACGCCCCCGCTTGAGCCCGAACTCG